CCGATCCGAATTATTATTATTCCCGCTTCCTCCAGAAACCAACTTCCCCCCGTATTTCCGAAACTATTTTTTTACATCTTTACAAATTACAAATTTACAAATTACTTTATTACAAATGATTTTATTACGAATTACAAAGTTACAAATTACAGAATTACCCCTTAACCGTCCATGACCATTCTATCCTATATTACATAATTACACATAATTTACAGGAATTACAGTAATAAAGTACCGCATAAATATAATTACTAACCGCGTAAGACTCAGATAATTACGCCCGTATATCCTAATGCCCGCTTATTCCCTGCGTGTTCTCTGCTCTTTCCTATTTTTGATTCCTCCTCCGCCCGGAATGTACCCTCCTGTTGTACCGTACCATCATGCTGTCGAGGAGCGTTCTCCATGCCTCCTCGCTCACGATGGTTCCCCTGGCGAACTTTGCCAGGGCAGATGCGAAGAACGTCGGGGGATACCCCCGGCGTCGGAGTTCCAGCCGCATGGCCAGCACAGATTGGATCACTGCAGTCCCCGCATTTGCCAAGCGTCTGATCCTATGCAGCGTGCCGATGATAGCGCGGTACTTTGGCCTCTTGTCCGAGTACGAGTCGTAATCCTGAAAACTCCTATACGGTATCTCCCCATTGATGATAGCTTCCTGATTCTTCAATTGAGGTGCGATCAGGAATCTGACTGGACACGCAGTCGCTGCAACCTTCGTGCCAATGAAGTCGATAGTGTTACCTCCCTCATCGGTTCTTACCAACACCAGTCTCCTTCCATAGCATTCTTCAAAGGCCTTCAGCATCTTCTCCGCCTTGCGGAATGAACCCTCGCTCCTTCTGTCCACTAGTACCACTGTCGTAACATCATCCATGAACCTGATTCCCTGAAATAACGCTCTGTCCTTCCCCAATGATCTCATGAACGCCGTCTCATACCTCTCGCACAGTATGCACGCCAATGGCGGACTCGAGTTCTTCCCCATTGGTATTCCCACGATCTGCTTCAGCAACATTCCCCTGCAGGTTGTATATGTGTGGCTCAGCTCAAATTTAACATACTCCCTTATGAGCTGGAACGTCAACTGCACATATCCCTTCCCTCGACTCTTCTTGTTCATCACCACCTCCCTCCCTCTTCTGCTCACACTCACCTTCTCCCTTCCTCTCGCCTCCCATTCCTGTAGCAGCCAATCCACTGCATCTATGATCGCATTATGCGGCAATGATGTGAACATCTCCTTTATATCATAACTTCGTAGCAGAACTATCGCCTCCCCTTTCTTACCGTTGTACTTCTTCTCAGTCCGAGCGAGCCTCTCCTTTAGATGCATTGTTACCCCCATATTGAAGTGCATGGCCTCCGGAAGTCTCGCCAGCAGGACGTTGAGTGCTCTGGCTACCCTCCTGGTCCCCGTCTTGGTCGGCTCCCTATTAGCTGGTGCAATAGGTCTCCGCTTACCGAGGTCTTTTTGCTTTGGGATCACGTACGCGCAGCCCACCTTGCCCTTTCTGTCCCACTCCGCTATCCTTTCCAGCCCCGCCTTCATGTAGTCGTTTCTTGCCGTCGCCATAATCTCCTTCTCGTTCGCTTCCTCGTGCTTGTAGGCACCGTTGTAGATGAACATCCTTTTTAGTGCGTGCTGGTAAGTAGACGGACACAACAGCACCATCTCCCCTGCGTTCCTGTCCACCGGTGTGATTACCAAGTGCCCGTACCTTCTCCTAACCTCCGTGACCTCTTCTTTCGTAATTGTTGCACTCGTGAGATCCGCGTGGGTTCGTCTCACGTAGCATTTTTCCACCTGAATGTCTTGCCGCTGGACGTCCACATGATCTCCCACGGCCGCCTTTAGTGCTGTAAAGATCCTCTCTCCCAGTTCTCTCTCCCCTGTTCCCCGAGTCGGTCTCGTAATGTTCTTACCATTGCAGATTAGCTCCTTTACCCCCGGTATCTACGTGATCCTGGCGACCACATGCCCATCCGTTCGTGGCAGCTCGTCCCTAGCGCACGTGCACTCCCCCTCCTCAGTTTTTGCCACTGCTATGTGGTTACCAGTATGCTTGCTACGGTTCTGTTCCTTTTCCATACCACTCGTGCACGCCTCTTCAACACGCCTTTGACCGCTGTGTGTTTCGCCTCACTAATCCACTTCTGCAGCTCCGCTCTTACCTCCACCTTCTTTATATCCCTATCATATCTGACTGATACCGTCGTCTTATGCCTAACACTTACTCCTATCTTCCTCCTTATGACCTTCCCAACCAACTCCTTAATCTCCTTCCTTTTACCTTTCTCTGAGAACGCGCCCGCCCCTGTGTATAGCTGCATCAGCCCTCCTACCTCCATCTTCCACAGCTCCCTCCGTTTATGCGGCACTTCAAGGAGGAGCCGCAGATAGCCCTTGCTACGCTCCCGCGCACACTCCGTTCATGCTATTACCTTAAACCAGAACTCTCCTCCTTCCTCTAGTCGTGTCTTCGCTTTTGCCACTCTATACATTGGTGTGGAGTTTGCTTGAAATGGCCTTATGGTTTTCTTATAAATTGACCTGAAAAATGGGGGGTCGGTTAACCTTCTCTCTTTTGCCAGAGCCATCGTCTCTCCATTGTGCACAACCGACGTTGTACCATAAAGTCTCTTTGTTAATGCCCAGTCATCCCCCCACACCTTACCCCCACTACTTACAAGGCATGCTGTCTCGCCCGTTCTGCTTACGGTCTCTATGACCTTTCTAAGGCTCGTATTCCCCTCCCTCTCGTTCCTTATTCTGAAGGTAATGATTGCCTTCCTCTCTTCCTCCCCTTTCTCTCCATATCTTTTTCTTCTTTTCTTCTTACCCGGTCTATTCCTCTTCTTTCCCCTCCTTTCCACTCCTACTTTGTTTAGCGCCGGGGATAATCACTTGATTATCGTAGTCTCCAGCACCTTGAGCCCCGTTGTCTGTGTGGTAGCGATGGGAAGGACTATATATTTCTCCCACCCATACCGCCGCAGCCAGTTATAAAGCATTGGCGACCTACCCTTGTCCCCTGCATTCGTGCATCTTATGTGCTCCCTCCATCTCTCCGCCGCTCCCCTTATCGTCTGCCCAACGTAAATTTTCTTACACCAGGGCGACACTAAGCAATACGCTACCGGTTGCTTCATATTAGAGAACTCGTGGTTCCTAGGTGCGACATCCAAAACTTTCTTCGCCCATGGGATCTTACCTCTCCTACTCAGCAGAACAAAGCACGAGGCGAGTGCTTTATCCACCAGTAGCTGCAACTTAGAAAAACCGGTGAGCCCCTAGATCTCACTTCTCAACCTGACCAGTCTCGCCATGTCGTCCCACACCTCCCTATCTGAGGGCTGCCACCATCACTCCGTCTCACTATCGCCATAGTTAAACACCTCTTGCTCGTCCTCCTCTACCGCGGCGTCCTCCTCCCCTTCGTCCCCCAGCCATCCTTCATATGCCAACCTTGCCATTACTCGGACCAGTTCCCGCACACCCTGCTCCTTGTTGACGTAGTCCAGTCCTTCCTGCTGGCAGCGTCGCTTGATCTCTTGGGCCATCATTTCTCCCAACTTCTTCTGGACGTTCAGCACATACTCGATTACGCCCGTCTTGCTGCATGTCGCCGGTACCTTTCTCTCCGTACCTTTCACTTTGCCTACCTGACCTTTCTTGCTTGCTTTTGGTGTGACCTCCCCCCCATCATTCGTACCGTCCGGAGAGTATAGCCGTCTTCCCGTATGCCTTCCTTGGTTTGCCCGCGTAAACTGCCACCTTCCTCGCTCCTCCGCATCGCGTGAGCTTTCTGCGTTATCTCCCCTCAGATACTTAAGTAGTACTTCTGTTACTCTCTCTTCGATCTCCTTGGTCTTCCCTTTCCCCTTCTCCATCGGCGTCTTGGCCCTAGCGGCCAGCGTAGCCTGTATTTCATTACTTACATCCGTGCGGAAAAGTTGCAACTCCCTTGCCACCGTTGCCATAATCTTCATCTCCGTCTCTTCGTTAAGTCGCCGTAGTTCGGTCTGCCTCCGCTCTAGTTCCTGCTGCCTTCTCCTTTGCTCCTCGAGCTTCCTTGCTTTCTCCTCTTCCTCCCTCTTCTTTTCCATCTTTTCCTGCTCCCGCTGCATCTTTGCCTTGAACCATTCCTTCATTGTCTTCACATCCTCCTCCAGTTCTCTTCTATTCTGCCAATACCTTGCATTGTTGGCGAATGTTCCCTGTCGTTGCTGCTGCTGGGCTAGCTGCTGCCCCTACATGCCCTGCAGCTGAAGCGGTGGTGGCGGTAGTGGAAGGGCTTGGCTTCTTCCCACCGGATAATCGCGTGCATAATGCCCTTCCTGTCCACAGTTGTAGCAACTCCTGCCACCGCCGCCTCCCGCTCCATTAGTCCTGTCTGGTGTCGACATATCGCCGTCGTCGCTCTCTCCCCCCCGCTGCTTGCCTGCCGTACTTCCCTGGTTGTACCACTCGTCCAATCTACCACCCGTACTCGTTTAGTGTGCGTCCCAGTGTACTCCCCGCTTCTACCTTTGCTACCTCCGCTACCTCCGCTACCTCTGCCAACTCTCCGCAGTAGACGCAACCACCAACGTAAGTTTCTCTGCTCACTCGGTTGTTACGCTTCACGAAGAAGAAGAAAGGTAAGCAATGGCCAGATTGCTCTTCACACACATTCCATAAAAAATCGTTTCTTACATACGTGTATAACGCTCAAACGCGCACGCATTCCTCTACATGTTTCAACCGGGTGCGCCCCGGTCTCATCAGGAGGCTTTCCGCTTAACCCTTTGCCTATCGGCCCA